ATATTCCGATTTGTATAGGTTTTTTGCTATACGGGCTGGAAATGTATAGAATATTCCTATACATGTATCGGAATTAGAGTAATTCCTATGAATGTATAGGGTTTTGCAGCCCGTTTAGGAATATGGCCAACTGAAGAAAAGAATTTGCCATCAACCGTAAAAACAGCGATTTAATTTGTTGTATTTTGTCTTCAATGGTGATCAATACGATCATTTGTTAACAACGTACAAAATTCACAAAAGCTGCTTGTTTGCCCGCTGTCCGGATTATCCGCTAGATGGCGTAGTGTCGTTTTTACGGACTTACTTCTCGGTGTGCGCTGCGGCTAGGAAATTTTGGGTTGGGTCAGGGGGGTCGCGTCCTATAATATAGTAAGAAAGTTGAAGTCATTTCAACTCTTACATCATTTTTACTGAGGTGTTCCTTACACCTTGGGTGTTCAATTGGTGAAGTCGATCTTTGCCAATGTGGAGGACCGGGATGAAGGGTCACTTGATCCATACTCGATGATCTACAATGGCGGGGAAAAGCGGCCGTCGTATAATCTGACAGTTCATCCGTTCGGCCGGCCTAATTAAACATTTTGGTGGAAATCCCATACATGCATTGCAGTTGCGCCATTCCGATGTATAGGAAAAAACCTACACAACGTATGGGAGAACGCCTATACATATAGTCATAATGCCGTACCGATGTATAGGAAAAATTTCCATACGAGTGCATGGTAAAATTCCTATACGTGTATATGTAAATAGCTTCATATACATGTATAGGAATTTGACTATAATTTTTTTTTACAGTGCAATTTCTTTTCACAAATTGACACAAAGTATCGTAGTTGGAAATTTACGATAAAGTTTATCCAAAATTGATCCAGGAAGCGGAAGAAGGGAATAACTTGACATATCCCCAAATTTATTTTTATTTTATTATTGTGCCTTAGAATTGTTTACATCATTACCCAATTTTTTGACTGAATTCCAAGCAGTTTAGGAGAAAATCCACTTGGACAGTCTAAATTTCATTGGAAAATGGAGATAACTCAACCTTAGTCTACATGAGTCCGTTTGACAAATTGGCAAAAGATATAACTCAATTGTGTTTTTATGAATCTAGTTTGGGTGAGC